GAGCTCTTGGAACTCCAATTCTAGATATTCGCGGACTATGCAAAGATGCAAGAGGTAGAAGTTCTGATGCTCTAATTCCTTGCTCTTGGCCTTACTCGCACGGCCAAAGGTGACTTCCTCACGGAGAAGACAGAAGTGAGGGTCGTGGCTGAGAAGACCCAGCATGATGAGATCGGCATCGAGACCGTACAAGCAGTGGCGGACGTTGGGATCATAATCAGGTTGGGCCTTGGCGTTTCTGATGTATTCCATAATCTTGTGCTCACCTTCACCAGGAGTCTCGTGGCCAGACAGGACAATCTCACAGCCCTGCCAGTCGGCATCCTCGGAAACCTTCTTGTTGACGAAGTACTTGAGCTGCTGCGTCAACTTGGCCATGAACTCTGTACCAGGGGTGATACAGTTACTGTCGAAAGGAGGCTCCTTGGGCATCTCGACACCTTCAGCGATCGCCTTGTCACGGGCCTTTTCGTTGTCGAGGGCGGTTCGGAAACGTCTAGCACGCTGCTGGTTCATCTTGGCTCTCGGTGCAACACCGTCGATGGCCATGAAGAAGAGCTGCTTCGGCTTGATCTTCCCAAACAAATGCTCAATGTAATTGAAAATGCGTATAAACATCTCCTCCTCGGTAAGACGGAACGTCGTGTCTTCGCCAGAATCCTTGTGCGTGCAATTGTGGATGATACCGTTCATGTCGAGCTACCCAAAATAATTAGCTACTGTATTCCTAGAAGTGATGCGATGTCGAGGGGGGCGAACATAGAGACAGTCGAACTCGGGAATGCGGTTCTCAGCAATGAGCTGAGAGATGGCTGGATAACGCTCCGAGAGCCATCTGAAGAATTTGGGAACACTGCGGGCGACGGGGTTAGCAAAATGCGAAAGGGTGGCATTGGAAGCTCGACGAACCCCATGATGTGGTGATGTTGGCGCGCTTAAGCTAAGCGCAAGTATTGATGAAGTTCTGTAGCGAAGCAATGAGTTCAACAGACGATTAAGTTTCTGTATCGATCCGTCCCAATGCGGTGCAAAGGGTCCGTTGGGGTTTTGTATCTGTTCCTCTCTAAACACGAAGGAGGTCCTGACACAGGAGGTCCAGGTGAGCCTGTCGCAAGCTGGTTGCGACGTGGAAAAAGAAACGAAGAAATGAACAAGTGAAAGAATATTCAACAGTCGGCTAATCAGGTAGCCAAACTTGTCTGCGATTCTGCCAGGTGAACAGGGAACTCGGTCTGTCGAGCTGTGTGAGGAGGGAGGGTTGAGAGGTCGTGAACGTGGAATCTTTGGGTTGCGCAGATGAAGCTGGACAGATGGACCTGACACTGGATGCTGGCTGATATGGGCGCAATCGATATTGGATGATGCAGTGCAGGAACTTCCGTCTCCAGCTGTTAGGCGCCTGGTGGCGGGGCTAGGTGGGAGAATCTAGTGGCGCTAGTGGCTACAGAGGCTCATCAGTGTCTTTGGCCCTGACGGTATGACTCTTCGCCTTCCACAGGCGCTGGAACTTTGGGGCAGGGTCTGGCCTAAGGTAAGAAAGTCGGGTACCCTTAGGACAGCGCCACAGTCATTGCCCCGCTTCGGCCGGGGAGCTGAGGCTGGTGCTTTCACAGCGAAATGTGGGGGAGTATCTTCGATTGCGCCCATGCCCGTTTCGTCCTGGCGTGGCAGGCGTCTCCCAGCCTTCCTGGCCCTTGCTTGCTCGGGCTAAGGTGTGCCTATGCAGCCAAATTTCAATCTACGCGCTGCTGCGCGTCTTCTTTCAGAACCTCCACCTCGCGTCAACCTCCACCCGACCATCGTTTGCGCCAGCAAGAAGAACTTTCCGACCATTGCGCTGCGAAGCCGAACACATCCAACAACCCCACCGACCAGCGTTTTGAGATCTCATAATAGAGAATTCTTGAATTATTTTCGCGACTGCACACAATGGCGCCCGCACAAGTTGTTGACGATGTCGACGGTAAGCTCCATAGACGAGCTCCAATTCGCATCAAATCCTGACCTCTCTGCTAGTCGACATGATCCAAGAAGAGGATGAGGACCAGGAGCAGCGTCTCATCAACGAAGGTAGGTTCACAGTAGACTCTGAGCTTCCATACGGGACTTGGCTGAACAGGCTTTAGAGTACAAGACGTGGAAGAAGAACAGCCCCTTTCTCTACGACATGATTCTCAGGTATGGCAAGCTTCCATGTCGCAGCTTTTTGGTTACTCAACATGTGATAGCACGGCTCTCGAATGGCCTACACTCACCACCCAATGGTTCCCCGATGTCAAGGAGCCCGAAGACAAGAACTACCGAATCCACAGACTGCTCCTCGGAACACACACTTCCGAAGGCCTCCCGAACCACGTCCAGATCGCCGAAGTCAAGATCCCCAAATCTGTGGCCCCGAGCCCCGAAGACTATAACGAGGAGACTGGTGAGATTGGAGGACACGCCAAGTCGTCAAATGGGCAGTCGACCGCCGTCGAGTTCAACATCGTGCAGAAGATTGACCACCCCGGTGAAATCAACAAGGCGCGCTACCAGCCTCAGAACCCTGACATTATTGCAACGCTGTGCGTCGACGGCAAGGTCCTCGTCTTCGATCGTACAAAGCACAGCCTCCAGCCCACCGGCAAGGTCAACGCTCAGATCGAACTCATCGGCCATAAGCAGGAAGGATTCGGTCTGGCCTGGAACCCCCATGAGGAAGGCTGCCTTGCGTCTGGTAGTGAAGATACAACAGTCTGCCTTTGGTTCGTATCGTCGCATCCCCCCTAACTAATCGTCAATCTAATCAATTTTGCAACAGGGATCTCAAGAACCTCCAAAGCGGCAGCAACATTCTGAAGCCCCATCGCAAGTACACACATCACACTCAGATTGTGAACGATGTGCAATACCACCCCATCGCCAAGAGCTTCATTGGAACGGTCTCCGACGACCTGACAATGCAAATCATTGACGTGCGACAAGCCGATACAAGCCGCGCTGCAGTTACCGCCAAGCGCGGTCACCTGGATGCCATCAACGCTCTGGCGTTCAACCCCACATCCGAAGTGCTCGTCGCTACGGCATCAGCCGACAAGACCCTGGGTATTTGGGATCTCCGCAATGTCAAGGAGAAGGTCCACACGCTCGAGGGGCACAATGACGCAGTCACTTCTCTCTCATGGCACCCTCAGGAGGCTGGTATTCTCGGCAGTGGCTCCTACGATAGAAGAGTTATCTTCTGGGACCTCTCCCGCGTCGGGGAGGAGCAGATGCCCGACGACCAGGAGGACGGACCCCCGGAACTGTAAGTCTCACTCCCACTCAAGGAGTCTCTCAGTCACTAACGCTAGTACAGTCTATTCATGCATGGCGGACACACCAACCACCTGGCAGATTTCAGCTGGAACCCCAACGAACCCTGGCTTGTCTGCAGCGCCGCCGAGGACAACCTGCTTCAGATCTGGAAGGTCGCCGACTCCATTGTCGGCAGAGACGACGGCGACTTGCCGCTTGACGAGATTGACCGATAGGCAAGGTGGAGTCTCAAGAATACTTACAAGTAGCACTATTACTCGCCTTTACTAGAGCTGGCTAGGGTGGACGGAGGGGACTAAAACGGCGGCGACTGACTCGGAGGATGGCACTTTTACCATTTCGTTTTTGTCTTTTTGGCGTCTATGGTCATTTGTGGAGATAACTTCGGATTCCCAACATGCTATCCTTTCAACGTTTCAACTGATTTCGACTGTGCTTTCGTACGTGGGTGATGCGTAGTTGCTGGCTTTCGAGGGGTTCACAGGGACGTCTACGGGAGACAAGTTTTACTCGCAAGGGTATCCGATTTGCAGCACATTTATTCCTAGGTTTTGTTCACAGGGCCGAACGAATGGCAAGAGTAGAAATACTTCAATGATGAGCGATTATGGCAATTCGAATTTGGGCTAGAGAGGCGCCGGAACGCCATGCTGAGCTTTTCTTCTCCTTTATACTCTTCTTACCAAGAAACGAAAAACACGTCAAGACAGCACGGGCAAACGCAGGCATATACGAAACGCAAAGTCAGTACACTTTTTTCTCTTCCATCTTTCAAGGATAGATAGCAACGGCGATGAATGCTTTTGACGCAAGAGCAACCAATGACAAGACAGAAATTCGCATTTTTTTCGAAAGATGAGCAAAGATTATTCAAAGCCAAAGCCAGCCAGCCTGCCCTGGACCCTGTTTCACTCCCCGACTCCCACAACGCTGCCGCCCATTTCCGCCGTATAGGAAAAAAACCATGTGTTTTTAGTGTCGAGAGAGAGAGAGAGAAGAGAGAGGTGGAAAAGGGTGGGTAGGTGGGTGTACATGCCAAGCCAATCAATCTGGAAATGGTGGGAGAGGTTTTTTATGATGATGTTTAGGAGGAAAACCGAAATGAGATAAAACCGGAGAAAAATGTCGAGAGTGGAAGAGAAAGAAAAACCAGATACGATGATGATGACTTGAGAGTGGGAAAAAAGAACTAGAAATATTGAAAAATCAACACGTCTCACACACAATGAAGGCCAGGTATACCCGTTACACTCCCTTCGCTATGCACTCCCCTTTGGACCGCCCAAAATCCGACCGTACCGCAACCGCAACGTCCAACCAAAGGCAAGGTCGGCCGTAATCAACAATCCGTAACTAGCCAGCCCTTTTATACTGACGCTTGTCAGGGAGAAAGCAATTCCAACAGTGGTGTCCGTCCGTTCCGGTAGTGTAACACTCTTTTTGTCTTTCCAGCCTTGCAAACTTTTTTACCCGCATCCCTTGGTATACCGACAGCCAACCTCCTTCCAAGTGATCTTCCAAAACCTAGACACCCCCTTCCGATGAAAGCAAGCGTAAGTCCTGAAGGTATTTGCCAATGGTCAATGCTCTATGTTCGTCTTGTTTCCGAAGCTCGTTCCACAGAAATAAATAGGCCCTCGGAAACAATCCAAGGCAGCTGATGTAGCTCGCCTAAATTCCCATGCTTGTAGCCAGGTGTTTATTTAAGCAGGAGACTTGCTCGGGGGCGCAGCTCCTCCGTTCTGGCGGGCATCGCCGCCGCTGACGGACAGACCACCAATGCCGCTGGAAAGGAACGCAAAGGGATCGTTTTCGTTTTGCGAGTAAAAGTTGTTCGAAGGGCCGGCGGATGCGGGGCCGTTGGAGGCCGACTGGAAAGCAGCCTCAGCCGCGCGGCTGTCAAAAGGACCGGCGGAGTGGGATCCAGGGGCCGGTCCGAAACCGTGCGTGTTGAGGGAGGAGGGGTAAGGAGCAGCTCCGCCACCAATGCCCGAGGGAAGGGCGTAGGTGCTGGGCGGGCCACCGAAGTGCTGCTGACCGCCGTAACCGCCGCCCTGAGAGGCAAAGTTACCACCGGCCGAGGCAAAGGGGCCAGGCCCGGGGGTGCCGCTCATGGAGCCCTGGCTCATGCTGTAGTTGGAGGGAGGGTCCATGGGGGAAGGGTAGCCACCAGAGTCAGCGACGACGGCGGCACCAGCACGGCTGGCGCCGCATCGAAGACAGCATACGTTCTTAGCAAAGTTGTGGTAACCGCAGACCTCATTGCCACATTTCCAATCTCCAGCGCGGAATGGCACGACGCCGCTGCCACCCATGCGACCGCCACCGTGACCCATGTGTCCGTGGTGGTGCTGAGGGGGAGGCATCATGGCCGGTGGTCCGTATCCGTACCCGTAACCCATGTCACCGGTAGGTCCGGCACTCACAGCCGGGAATGAGCAGCGGAAACAGGCAGTTCGCCGCTGGAAGTTCGAGAAGCCACATGAAGGGCAAGTCCAGTCGCCAGGGCGAGGGCGGTTCTTGCTGGGGGGAATGGGGTAAGGATCTCAGCGGCGCGGTCCAGGACGCGGCTGGAAGACGGAGACACCTCGATCGCCTTCTCATTAAGTGCACGACCGTTCATGCACAGACTCTCAGCGGCCTAAGAAGAACGTCAGTAAGGGACTTTTAAAATGCCACAACGGGTTACAGTATCCAATTGAACCTGACCCGAGCAATTTTTTGACAGGCTTGATAGACTGAGTGTAAGGCACGTAAAGAAATGGTGGACTCACTTCCTCGTGGGAAGAAAACACGGCGAAGCCGCTACCCGTGGGCTTGTGCTGCTCAGGGGTACGGAGGGTCCAGAACGCAATGGGACGACCGCCAAACTGAGTGAACCAGCTCTCGAGCTCGGATTGAGTGGTGTCATGGGGCAGGCCAGACATGTGGAGGACCTTGCTGCGCTCCGACAAGAAAGCTCGCACATCGGCGCGGGCGTCCATTGGTCTCGTCAAGACGTCGGGATGCTCATGGGAAGGCTGCGACTTGCGGATTAGGCCTCGCAGAACGCGGGCGAGAGTGACGGCCTCCTCCATGGCCCGGCGAGGGGACGCAGGAGCCAGCGCCTGAAGGTGGAAAGGCAGGTTGTGCTTGATTGGAGCACTGGACTGGACCGGCTCCACCTCCAAGGCGGCACAGATATTGGACAGCATTGAGGGCCCAAAAGGCAACGATTCGGGGTGGTGCTGCTGCCATCGCTGGTATTCGGTTCGCAAATCGAAAGTGCGGGAGTGCTGAAGGTACGGGGGCAAGACAACAGCTTTGTCGCGGGCCTCTCGGGGCAACTGGACGCGAAGGTCCCAAGCATCGAGGGTAACGAAGACGAAATCGAGGTTTTGCGAGGTCAAGTGTTCGTTGGCAAACGTGTCGAATCGGTTAATGGCATCGCGGAATGTACCAGCGTTACGGACATGTTCCCAGGTCAAGGTCGTCAAGCTCGCTAGAGAAAGAGAAAAATGCCGAGGTTAGCTAGGAATTTTTTCACGGGGTCGTTGCCTGCGCCTTAAACAGGCGTCATATGGCGTGACGGAAAGAGACAATTGAGGTCTCAAGCCTGGTGTGACTACTTACTGCACAGGGGTGTGATCGGAGTGTTGATGGGTTTGACAAGAACGCTCTCGCGGGTGATCTAGAGACAAGCTCGGTCAGCTCTGGATTGAGAAGCGAAGAGGGATAGATAGCCCGCAAAAAAAGCTAGGGATGATGGATGATGCCAACTAACCTCCTCCAGAGACTTGGCGTCGAGGAGAATCCAACCGAGCTCAATAACCTCGGCCGAGTCCTTGGTGACGTAAACTCCATGCTCATCGCAGGTGGTTGCGACGTGGATCACAACGTAGCGATCGATGCTGAGCTGGTTACCAGCTTGGGAACCAGACATTTTGGCAAGAAGGCGACAACGTGGCCGATGACGAAAGGCTGCACAGTAAGGATGATGGCTATGGCGATGCCGTTGAGAAAGCAAGCCGACGCTTCAAACAGTTGTTTCGACACAGCAGGTGAATAGCTGTGGTTTTGGGTTGACTCGAACAAACGACGGATGCTCGGGGAGGGGACGGGAGTGGTTCCCGGTTCAAGCTTCAGGAGAGGTGCCGAGCAAAGTAAAGTGCACAGCAAAAAAGACCGAAGCGGAAGTTGCGGCAACAAGCAGGCAAGGGAAGAAAAGGAGACGAGGAGGAAATTGACCGGTCCTCGTGTCGAGATACCTTTTGTCCTCGCAGCTCGGGGAAGGAGAGGAGGAGGTGGGAGGTTTCGGTAGGTGCAAGGAGGAAGGAACCGAAAAGAGGGAAAGGTGATGGAAAGGTAGGAGGGAAGTCGACCGCAGACGCAGGAGAAGAAAATTGGTGTTGGCGTGGGACTTGGGAAAATGCTCCGTCAGGTAGGGTACCTAGTTTTGCATGGTGCGTGCAGTGCGACGAAAAGTACCTCCTCCACTGTCTCTTTTGCTCCTGGGGAACGACTCCCAAAAAAAGAGGATTGCAAAAAAGCCCGGTGTTTACGACGGTACGTGAGGTGGACTACCTCTATTTGTGCATCCACTGGGTAGACCAAGTATACCTTATACAGTAGATTGTGAGGCAGGTACCGCGGACCATGCCTTTTTTTTTTTGCCTGGGAAGGACCTCCCACAATTGGCCTTCCTGACCTGCCTTACCTTCTCTACCTTGCATTTCTACCAAAGTACTTGGGAACACGAACGAGTGACAAAAGACGACGACGGGCAGGAACAAAAACAAGATGCTGTCCAACAATCGAGGGCGTGTTTGGTCGGCGCAATTGGTCCATGTGCAGCTGCAGCAACAGCACCCAGCCAGCACCCAGCCAGCACCCAGCCAGCACCCAGCACCCAGCACCGTACGGCAAACCAGGGGTGGGGGGAAGCTTGGTTCGGTCAGGTACATGACATACACAAGTCGCCGGGCTTGCAATTTTGATACGACTGGTGGAGGCACCCCTGGTAACACGGTAAGGCGACGTGGAGGTAAGGTACCTTGAGCTTAGGTTGCGGCAGCCATGCGAAGTTTTTAAGCAATAGCTGCCTATCATCATGAGGTGGTCAAGAAGTTGAAGGTTGAACAGTATCGAGTCACACGCAGCTATTGGGGATGCTAGTAGAGAACTCAAGCTGACTATGGATCCTCCACAGGCAGCTTGACATCTGTTTGCCCCTCCATCAATGTCCATGCCTCTCCTCGAGGGCCAACCTCGACTTTCCCTTCATGGACTTGAGTTGGACAAACTAGACTCAGGTTTAGAGAAGAAGAGAACCACGAGGGCTACCGCACAACGCCGGCAGCCCAAAGTCATGTGCTTTGTCCTAACTGCGTCTGTACACTGCAGAGACGGCTCCCACGATCATGACTTGCACAAGATAAGGTAGATGAGGTACCTGCGGGAAGACGGCTGCACATGACAATCTGTGCTAGATCGAATTCCCCCGCGATGTCTCGTCTCATAAACCTGCCTTGCGGTCTGCCTCTGCTTTCTGCGAGCTAGTGGTCTCGGGCTAGGACCCCACGAGCTTCGTCAACTGCATAAACCCGCCCCAACTTCTCGAGTCCCCTAACTCAATGGAATGTCTCTCTGGAAAACCAACAGATCCGAGGGACCGAAGCACGTCTGCTGGAGCCTCTGCCTTAGGTACCTTCCCCTGTCACACTTGGGAGCGGTGTCAGTGCTTTGCCGGAGACTGCGGCCGTGCTCGTTGCATCTGTCCTTCCTGCCTGGGCTGCCATGTGCGCTCAATGAACCACGGCGGAGGGAACCCAAGCAGAGTCAACGGAGTACCTTACTTCGTACCTAGCGAGCAACACCACAGGAAGGGCCACATCAGCGTGCCCAGGAGCTCTTGCCGTCTATTAGTCGCTTAACCTAACGTGGGAAAATGGAGTCGCGAACGAAATTCCATCCGTGCTAAAGAACGGAATGTGCATCCAAAATCCACCCGTCATACCGCTCGCCTCACATTTGTTGGACTTTGTCGGGACAAAACACACGTAGGCCGCAGGCCGCAGACTTCAATTCCTGGGGACATGGGCCTCCAGGGCTTCGGAGACATCTTCAACTTTGCCTACCTATCCGTAGGTACGAGTATTGCCTTCCCTTTCCACAGCTACTACAACTCTCACCACCTCGGAACTCAGTTCATGAATCATCCAATGGTCAAGTGTCCATTGGCGCTCGACAACAACTTGTATACATTGGAGGGCCGCCGGTGGTGTCCATGACCTGCTCTCTGGCTGCAGAAACCACCACAACTTATGCACGGCAGGGCTCAAAAGTACACTCTTCGACCACCGCGCCTTTTCCACGTTCCCTCGGGAGGGAACCCTTGGACATAGCCACGCTCTCTTGCATACCGGCTCCTTGCCGCCGTCGCCGGATGCTTGGATCTTCCCTATCAGCAGGGCCCTTCTTCTCTCCCCTTCACGTCTTCTCCTTCCAGCACGAATCCGTCACTCACGTCCCTCGCGGCTTGCCCTCGTCGGGGACCAAGGTAGTTGGTACTGCAACTACAAGCGGCACACTACGTCCCAGACGTGTATCGACCTCAGCCGTTCTCCACGGCTGCGCCTATGCGGCTTTGTCACACACTTGGATGCTCCGCGACGAAGGAGTTCCTGCTTTGGGTTCTGAGCATATCAACACATGCTAATTGATCGACCATCCTTCAGAGGACCATTGCCACGAGCAGTCCATATTTGCACAAGCACAGTCACTAAAATGGTACAATGACTCCTGTGGGGAACGAGAACAGAGACGTGTTAGCTCGCTTCTATGCTCGATATGCTCCTGGGTAGGTACTTCTATACTGTGCCCTAGGTACTTGGGTCTTTGGATGCCTCCCCACCCTCGCTACCTTACCTGAAGCTGCGCTCATACACTATACATCGTCGACCTCCACTCCCCGAGCAGCCCACAATGATAAGTCGCCAACTGGCCATTGAACAGAGAGCCTTGGGGAAGAGCTAGTCAGTCAGCATAGGCGTTGGAGAGGTGCCTCATCCCGCAACTACCACTGCTTCAGGCTCTATAACGAGCCGCAAACCGTCTGTCCAAGACAAGTCTAGGTAATCTGGTCGTTTGGGTACGTGTCAGAGCACCTAGGGGGGCAGATTGTCTTGTCTGCCTACGGAGTGCCTCTAAGTACAGACAATTATGGCGGTGCACACCTAGATTGCCGCCACTGAGCGGCATTTCCCTGTCTACCACGTGGAAGGACTCGGCTAGGTTTTCGCGACCAGCTTGATCAACAGCTCTGGGACGTCCAAGAAGACTTCAACGTCCACGGTGTTACCACGTTATCAAGCAAATGTTCCTATGGAACCAGCCAGCACACCGAAAAATCCCTCTGGAGAATCCAACAACTGTGCAGTTGGGGCCCCGTTGGAGCAGCAGAACGAACGTTAGAGGGGCCCCACACGGCCATACCTCACTTGCCGGCGCACACGAGGCGTCATCTGGCGCCCATGGTATCAGCCCACAATGATGTACCGCCTAGGCCGACCCTGTCGCTGTTACGGGTAGCCGTTCCCCAACGCCTTTGCACGTAGCATTGACAGCACGGCTGGGCACCGATCGAGAGGAGACCATCGAGACGAGTCTTCGCGGTGGAATACGCCGTGAGCGCACTCCAAGCTGCCTGCCTACACGACTAACCGATGAGATGGCTTCTTGGGACACAAAACGGAGTACCTAGTGCAACAATTCAGTGAGAGTTGCCGCATACCTCCCGGACGGGCATCGTTTTGGACCAATCCGCGGGTTCAACGGCTCAGACCCCCCTTATCCATTACACTTCACAGGGCTCAAACTTCGAGAAGGTTGGAAGAAGTGTCTTAGTTTGCACCATTTCCAGCGGCCCCCATCTGCCACGGATGGGCCCTTGGAGCTAGCACCAGGTCTTGCCCCTTGGAGGAAATCAGACCTCCGGCTATCACCGCAGCTCGTCGGCACTGGTTCTGTTGTTCCACGCCCACATTAATAGCAGCGCGAAGTCTCTCGAGTCGGCCATACTAATCAGTCGAGTCGGTCTCGGTGTCCTCGGACTCTGCCTTTCTTCACCTACCGGTAACATGGAGGTAATATTATCAGGCCTGGCTAAGCAGCGGTGGCTTGATCGGCAGTCGTATTGCCCTGTCGATCGAAGTTGCGTTGCGGCTGTGTTTTCGACCATGCCAACTGGTAGCCTAAATCAGAGTCACGCCCAACGTCCCAAGCAGTTTCAACTCGGGTATGTGCTATTCTCAATGTGCCTCAGCCGAGATGAGTCTCATTTGTTAGACGGCAGTTCGAATCTCCGATGGGAAACCAAGATATGCAAAAGTCATCTCATCTGACTAGGGCAAACATTTGCTGTTCGCAACCTTCGTGTGGTTATGTCATCTAGAGGCGAGTGAACAGCTACGCGGCCTCCGTTTCAAGACCTCGCCGCGGAACAACACGGCAATGCTGGTCCCTGTATGGACCGCAACGATATTCACAACCACGGTATTGCCAATTGACTAGTCTTTATACATTTAAAATCAATTCCAAAATCTCCGCATCTCCAGCGCTAGCCTATGGTTGACTTTGGAAGGACTACTCCCACCTCACTTTCGACGTTCTAGACGAAGCACGTGGATGCTTCGAGAGAAGCTTGGACTCTAGCTAGAGATCAGCTGCAGCTTCTGGATGCGAAACTTTCCTGCTCGACATAACATCGGTCGCCATTGAAACAGACCGGCGTCTATTTGGTATGGTTATGATAGACTTTGACATCTCATCGAAACAACGGGCCGAAGGACCCTTCGATACCATGCGTTCTAAGGACGGCTCAGCTCTCACTACAGAGAGTTGTGTGGTTTTGTTGATCTTACAGCGATATTGACGACATGCTTC